TTAGCCTGCCGAAGGTGAAGATACGGCTGGATCCAGATCCAGGCGTGTTACTGCGAACCGGCGGACTACGGATCCAGAGTCCTCGTATCTCCTACCCGGAGAATCCCGAGGATACTGGAAACAACATTCGCCAGGGAAATGGTTCCGTCAAGCCAAGATCCACGGCAAGATCAACAATGAGAAAGCGATCTTACTCCTAGATACCGGTGCCGAGGTGTCCATCGTGGACACCGCCTTTGCTCGTAAGGTTGGGTGCTACATCGACAGGAGTCAGAGCCAAGAATGCGTTGGGATCGGAGACAACGTGTATACGACGGAAGGGAGAACGCGGATCAAGATCGCCTTGGGTGGATACCTGGTGTATTTCTTCGAAATTTGGGTAGGAGATCTGTCTGGCCAAGAAGCGATTCTCGGTATGGACTACATGGTCCCAGCCGGGATCCGACTGGATCTAGCTGATGGGACTCTCTGCCTGCTTGACGAAGTCCGGATCCAGCTCAGCGGACGCCGTTCACTCTACAGTGACAAAGCGCAGTCGGTAAAGTTGGATCGCTATCTACAGCTTGGGATCGGAGAGTCCGCAGAATTGCCCATGCGTCTGCGAGGATCGGAACATGACAAGCTTTGGGTTACACGAGGGGAGCGATGGGTGCCAACAGTGATCAAGGGCCCGGGCAAGACACGGTACCTTCGAATCACGAACGTCGGCGAGAAGGAGCTGGTGCTGCGCCAGAATCATCAAGTAGGGATGTGGCTGGCCGGCGATCGGGTGCCGCGGATCCAAGGTTACGTATCCGTCGGATCCCGCCGCTACCAGGAGTGGCAGAATCTCGCGCTGCAAGCTACGACGGAGGCTGGATCCGCGGAGGTGACGCCTCCAGAAATCCCGACGGGGCCGATGGTGGAGCGTCCTGAGTACCCGACGCCGCGTGCAATACTGCGGAGGCAGGATCCAGCTCAAGTCAGACAGGTGGAACCAAGACCCAAGAGCGCCGGGGGTGGACGGGGCAAGTCGCTGCCGGATCCGCCCGGTCAGGCGATCGACGAATACATCGCCGGGGCGGCGGAGGTGTTGCAGCTCCAAGCTTCAATCAAGGCGCGGACACGAGATCAGCGACTGGAGGAGACGAGCGGACAAGTACCCGGAGGGGATCCGCAGGCCGAAGATTCGCCGGATCAAGATCCAAGTGACGAGGAGTCCCTGGGAGTCGGCGAACCTCGCAGTCAACCGTTCGCGTTACGTCAGTGCATGGAGATTGACACGTGGAAAGAGGTGCAGCAGATCCAGAGCCCACCACCCCAGAGCCCATCACCCCAGGTCAGATCCACGGATCTTGGATGTGGACGGGACGAGCCGACGATCGGACCTCCGTTGAGGCCAGATCCCACGGTGACGCAGGACAATGGGTCGATTCGACAGGAGCAGCCGCACACAGCTATTGCCCGGATGGAGGAAGCCCAAGATCCAGTGTCGGTCATTTGGCCCAAGCCGGATCCAGGCGAAGTCCCTGCTGAGCGCCAGCCGGATCCAGATCCAATTGCCGATCGAAGTGTCGACGACGCGCTGAGACCCGCCGATGGATCAACGGGCCAAGATCCAACTGATGACACGCAAGGTCACGAAGGGGCGTTGAGTCCAGATGCTGTGGGACGGTCGGTCCATCCTGTTGTCACATCGGGTGGTAATCACGGAGAAACAGGGGGCGGATCTGCAAATTCAACAGATGGTGATATGGGACAGGCCATGGATCCAGAGGAGCTTCAAGTTTCGGACGGTGAGATGGGACGAGGCGCAGATCCAGATGGAGAGACGGCGCAGGAATCAGGTCCGACGCCAGATCCAACTGTCGATGCAGATGCAACAACTACCATAGATCCAAGTCGCGGTGACGCTGATGCAGATGAGCAAGTCTGCTACCACGTGAGTGGGGATCTGCACGCGGAAGATGTCGAAGCGGAGATGGCGGTGCTACCGGAAGTCACTGCGACCACGGACGAGGTGACTATTGAAGACATCCAGGTGGGGGATCCAGAGGTTAATACGGCGGAAGAAATCGATCGACTCCGGCGGCGGATCTGGAGGCGCCGGCACCTGCTGATTGGTAAAGGCAACGCACTGCCGCCCGCGGCACAAGGAGTTGTGTGTGACATTGATGTTAGTGATGCAAAGCCTATTGCCCAACGTGTGCGCAAGGTAGCCCCGCAGTACCATGAGAAGCTGTCGGATCTAATCAAGGGGCTGCTCGGAGCCAAGATCATCAAGAATTCGACTTCACCGTGGGCATCTCCAATTGTGGTGATCATCAAGAAGAACGGGATGGACATACGTTTGTGTATTGGTTACCGGCTGGTTAATAGTTTGACCCGGCTGATGGTCTACCCGATGCCCCTGATCAACGACCTGCTTGAGGATCTGGACAAGGTACTTTGGTACTGCTCTTTGGATATGGCCAGTGGATTCTGGGTGGTGCCGATGACGGATCGGGCTCGTGCAATCTCCGCCTTCATCACCCCGTTCGGGCTGTTCGAGTGGAACCGGATGCCCTTTGGATTGAAGAATGCACCCCAGATCTATCATCGGATGCTAGACAACGTATTGTATGGATTCACTCGGATCCCGCGGCTGGAAGATGGATCGGGATCAGAGCGCAAACTTGGATTCCAGCGTGGATCTGGATCGGAGGCGTTGGATCTGGATCTGAAGTCGGGAGAACCGGAAGGTCCGGGCAAACCATCCGTACTGGGATGTCGGTCGTATATTGACGACATCTTGGTAACCGGCGGATCCTGGGATCATCTGTGTGAGCGTGTGGACGCACTACTCGACGCATGCGATAAACGGAACCTCTCGATTAGCGTGGTGAAGAGTTTCTGGGGCAAAAGTAAGGTGGAATACCTTGGTTATCGCGTGTCAAACGCGGGACTGGAGGCGAATCCCAAGGATCTGTCGGTATTGATGGATCTACCCTTCCCAGGCACGCTTAGATCCCTGCAGTCGTTCTTGGGTAGTTTGAATTACTACAGTCGGTTCCTGGAGGACTACGCGATTTACGCTGCGATTCTCTATGAGCTACGTGAAGTGGACTACGCCGCGATGAGCAACCCGGAGAATCGAGGCCGGATCCAAGCGGTGATGGCTTCCACAACTCCAGATCCAACGGAGCAGACCTCGTCTGACACGGTGGATCTAGACTTACCGGATCCGGACTCTGGATCCACCAAGGCTGTGAAACAGAAGACTTCGGATCTGGAGGCGAACGATCCAAGCAATGTAGATCCGCGTTGGATTCGCGCTCATCGGGCATTTGCCAAACTGAAAGACAAGATGGCGACGACTCCGATCCTCCGATACGTCGACGCAGATCTGTTGCCGGTAGTGGTCGTGTACGCTAGTGAGTGGGCCATCTCGGCTGCCCTGATGCAGGAGCATGACGGGATCCACTATCCAGTAACGTTCACCAGCCGCACCCTGAAGTCAAACGAGCTTAACTACGGCGTGGTTGAGAAGGAGGTGTTGGCTCTGTTGCGGATCCTGGATCTGGGTTTCAACATGCTGGTTGGACGCCCGATCCGAGTCTTGGCTAGACATTCGACGTTGGCCTGGTTGTTCAGATCCACGGGTCTACAAAGGCGATTGGGACAGGGGGCGGCTCTGCTCTCGCCGTGGACCCTCGAGATCGCGAAGTGCACGAAGGGCGAAGATGAGATCCTGAGGGCTCTGGCAGCCAGTATTACACCTAGATCCAAGGTAGATCGGGCTTTGATCAAAATTGCGCCCAAGAAGGAGTCACGACGCATGATCCAGGCGCCAATTCCGACAGTCAGGCCCGGTGAAGAACT